TACGCTCACTCACCTTTAGGTTGGAGCTCGTTCGCTACGCTAACTCGCCTCCAGGTTGAAGTTCGTTCGCTACGCTCACTCACCTTTTGGTTGCAAATTAGCTGTTGTCATAAATGTAAAAGAAATAATAGTGCCGCAACCTGTTGGTAATCCTTGTAACTTTAATGCTATTGAACATCATAGAACAGAACCAACTTGTTTATTTGAAACAGCTGTTAAGATTCATTAATTCCATTTCTCATAAGGTTAACATGGGAAACTCCAGAGCCACTGGGGCGGAGCCCTTTTAAGAATTTCGAAACGGGAAATAGTTTACGACCGATTCGTATACCTACAGAATTTACACACCAAATTTCATAACGATCGGTGAAGTCGTTCCGGAGGAGTTTGCAGACAAACACTGTGACACGAGAATTTTATATATTGATTAGGTCAATTACAATGTAGGTGACACTTTTTTGTTTAAATTTGGTAGCTTTTTGCTTATAAATTTGAACTACAGTACTAACATTTGTTTGGATTTGGCGGTATAGTATATCTTCCCGTTGCGAAGCACTAGTACAAAAATAATAAAGGCATTACAAAATACTAAAAAATAATTGATAATTTGTATGTGAATTATATAATTTCTGTGATTTTAACAGAATTTACAATTAATGAAGTATATAATTGAAAACGTCTGTGTTGCTTAGATAGAGCTCAATGTGTAGTTATTTCCATAAAAGTAAGAACAGTTTGCCTTCAAGGGAAGGACAGGAACTACCCTTACAGCTTAACAACCACTATAAAAAATCATTGGAATAACAATTCCTGTTTACTATGGTATAAAAAGAGCCAAAGTTGGTTTATAAGGCAGAGTTTTACGATAGGGGTATTATAATTTTCATCCTGGATTCTAAGACAGATATTGTTTATACGTTTCATATTCAGTTTCAGAAGTGGAATAATTTTGTTTCATATCAAACTGGAAGTAATTTTATATATTTAACTTATCAACCAGTTCGCTAACTAACCTATATAGTATTATTCTATAAATTGTCGCAATAAATCACAAATGGTAAAATGCACCTCAAGGATTAGTAGTTAAAATAAGTTTTATTCTTACAATAATATGTACCACATTTTCAGGATAAATGAAATAGGCCTATAATGAATGGACATTTTAATGGCCCTGTAAACGCCCGAGACATAGGGCATAGACATTTGCAATCAATTTAAGACTAGATAATTGTATAATTATAAACCGAGTAGACCGTTTCTCTAGTGCAGCAAAGACAATTTGCACTCTTGTTACACATTATATTTTTCCTACAGTTATTATAAAACATAGAAATTTAAAACATTAAATAACAACTTTTAAGTTAGGTTAAATACAAGCGTTGAACGAAATGGGAAACACTGCAACAGCTGATCGTAGTCGTAGGATGTCATAGTAGCTTTAGTGTTTCCTATCTATTTCCAAGCGTACACGGATTGTGTGCATAATAAAAGCACGCTGTTTTGTGTTGTTTGTTTGAAATACTGGCGTGCGACAAAGTAAATACTGTGCGAAAAAGTAAAAAGTGTGTTGCAAAGTAAGTAAAAGAAGCAATTAGCAGCTTTCTGTAATATATTCAGTGGAAGGAAGCTTACTTTGTCGGGTGATTGTAGGAAAATTTGTGTTCCTGACAAAACGAATAATACAATAACCTTTTACATTTAAAGATATGTTAGTTCAAGACAGATAATAGATTAATAAAACTACTAGTTCACTATAAATAAAACTTTTGGTTCTAGATTTACACCATTAAGAGTAATTTACCTACCTCAATTTTTATTTATTAGCCTATGTAACATCTGTTTTCATGAACTGTTGTTTCTCTTGTTTACAATATGACTGTGGTTAAACATTCAACTGAAATATCAGCTGTAAAATTGCAATTCACATTCAAACCGTTAGACAGTTGGTCAGAATGACTGAATTTATGAAAGCGAGCTCTATATAGAAATCAAACGTAGGCGGCGAAGCCCTGGAAATTAATTTAGTTACAATTCGCCCGTTTGCTAGATCACTAGCTTTACAAAGACACATTAATCATAAAAATCGGTTAAGTAGGATGGATGAAAAAGAGATGTCACAGGGAAATCCCTTGCTTTGTTGTGTGTATAGATGAATAATAGCATAGATAAAACATACTCCCTTAGTAGATTTCTTATCCTTATGAAACAGCTGAAGTTTTATTGTTAGTTCTTTCTGGTGTTCAGTAGAGGTCTTGTTTTGTTTACAATTTGTTTCTTATTATTTCAGCCATTTATACCCTCATTTACTTAATAATACGATCTAATCATAACAATAATTCGTCCCCTAGTTATATACCGGTAAAGCACAAATCAAGAAACTAACACTAAAACAATAGAAACACAATTTCGTCGACACTAATGATCAGTGTCACCGGACATGAACTAGACACGAAAACGAGCTTCGAAATTTACAATGGGATGAAAAGTCTCCTTTTGTAGACTCTTATGATAATAGTCCATAGATAATAGTATTGAAGGATCACATCTTACTACCAATTACTACAACAAGTTAACATAAAGCACAGCAAATTGACACAACAAAACGAAAAGAACCCTGTAAAATGAAGGATGAAGCAAGGCTCAACGTGAGGACAAAGCTTGAATTATGGGGCAATAAATGAAATAGCGTAAGCTCGGTAAAGATAAAGAGGGGGTGGAAAGGGGGAGGGTTTGGCTTAAATTGGCAACCACCCTTAAACCAGGGGGTGGACAGGAGTCTGAGGGGGTGTCAAAGCAGAATCCCCCACAGATCATCTCTTGCTGGGAGGAAATCCAGTCACCACTCGCCCACTTTATCAACTTGCCTCTTGGCGTTGTTTTATCTGAAGTTACAAATATTATTTTCTTTGAGCAAAATTTAAGTTAAGCATTTGTATCAGCATCGAAGAAAGTTTTTTTACCAGAATATGGTTTTATAAGACATTTCAATCAATATCAGTTTCGAGTTAATTTGAGAAATGAATTTAATAGATTTGGTAGTAACACAGCCATAGGTGAAGTATTTGTGTATGGTAAAACTGATCTACTTTTTAACCCTAAATAATGAATAAATGAACAAATCTAGAGGAATCCTTGATTAAAATATTTTGTTCTTTAGTGCAAATATTTCTCCCAACGTATATTAGACACATCAATATTTTCCAGGAGGATATGGATTTGAGTAAAAACATTTGTTTTGTACAATTTAATTTTTTTGCTAATAGAGTTTGTTTGAAGTAATTTAGTTCGGTGGACAATGAAGTAGTCTTTTAGTTTCGAGGTCACAGATTAGCTCAATAGCTCAAAATTCATCGTTCATTGGATTTATCAAATAACTTTTAAACAATGATCATGAACAAATATAGTAGTTGTTCAGGGGAGCAATCTGGTCTAGTGGATATCCCGGAATGAACCAATGGATTTTATCCATGTGATAATTCCGCGACCCTCTAGGACTCTGAAGTTATGTGTACAACAGTTAGGCTAGAACCTAGCGTCCTGGGAAGGTGAGACATGTGAAAATGGCTATTCCTCATAACAAATATTTAGTCAATAGTAATTAATACATATCATACTTACGTTACAGTGTTAATCAACTGAATTAATAAATAATAATCAATCAATATTCGTTAAAATTATTAGTTAGCAAGTAAATGAATGTACAGTTAACTCATGCAACGAAATAGTAAGTTAATTCAAAGATATCGTGCTGTTACTTTTCGATATACCTAATTCATACTCATTAATAATATTGCAATAACTCCTAACCATCGACCAATTTCGAAACAGATACAATATTAGCTCATGCATATAGAGCGGCAGATTTAACAATAGTTTTCGAGAGTGAAATGCAAATATTGTGGGTAAGTAGGCCAGCAGAGCTCGGATCGATGATTCTGAGGACATGCAACACCGGGAACGGGACGATAGGCACACATTTTTGAATCTTCTGCCCATGGCAGTATTGGCACACTCATTAGAGCGGAATAAGTAGGGTCAACTCGCCTGCTTGGAAAAGGCACGATTGGCACAACCACTCGACCAGGTAGACGCCATCGAACGAGGTAAAACGGTAATTGTAAAATTCCCCGTCAACTCTGCACGGCAGTCATTTCAACTCAACACAAATATGAGCTAACGTACAATAAATATAAATATTGCATTTGTGAAGTAAAAATATGACGCATGTACATTTTTGTTATTTATACTGTAATTTAAACCCATCTTTATAAAAAGATTAAGATTACATAACTAGGATGACTTGTAACCAAACTTCTGTTATTTTTTTTAGAAAAAACTAAATGTTAACACAATTTCCAAAGCTCGACACATTTGAACTGATAAATCAGCAAATAAGCTGGGATACATTTAATTTTTAAAGTCCATACAAAATTGAAAACTTAGTTAAACTGTCTAGGGCAGAACTTACGATAACTGGTAACAGTTTCAAGTTTCAATTTACGTTATTTTTACCTCAGGATTATGATCTAATTGTATTAGTGTTATTGATTTCTATTAAAAGACTCCCTCACCTTGAAAAGGTAGAGGATTACTGAACTTTCCCTATAACATATAATTCAAGTTTGGGAACTATAATGTTCAAAAACTTTTTGATTAATCTATACATAAAAAACTAAAAGTCGACCCGAGACTTTAAACTCCCGGGGTAAAGGCGAATCCCCAGGTAGCGGCAGGGGTTGGGTTTTCCACATATGCAAAACTGTGGAATGTAACTAAACCGACCCCTCCCCACCACAACTCATGGTTGTGGTATTTTTCGGGGGAAAATGTAGCAGTTTTGTGTCATATTTCAAAGTGGAAGGATGGATGAAGTTGTAGTGAGTTTAAGTGAGAGAGGCCAGGAGTGCATTATATTGGATGGATACCGGTACACTAAACAGTAGGTATACATTCAAATGTGGGAAAATTAGGTGGCTTTGTGAGACAAGAAGAAGGACAAGATGTCAAGCAAAGTGCATCACAGAAGGTACGTGTCGCATCTTATTTATATTTGATAGTTGTTAGATAGCGCATATAACATAAGGCCATCAGATTAATTTTATGTAGACAGCCGAAAGCAATAATTGTACTGTCCGCGCAGAGATTATGGAAATTTCAGTTATGGTATCACACCTCTGAAACGGCCCGTTTGATTTTAATGTGACAACAAATGATATTAAATACTGTCAGATTTTACATTACGGAGTTTCAAGATTTTACTTAACATTTTATAATTTGTACTAGCTGTTGTACCCGTGGTTTGGAACTGGAAGATAGGCACGAAATAGAACTGCATTTTGATATTTACTCTGTTGTGTAAAATAGTTACACATCCGGATCTGCCAACACTAAGAAGCAAAATTCTTCTTAATTGCCTTTACCTATAGAAACGATTGTGGCTTTTAAATCTGGCAAGTAGTGAAACCTGTAATTTTGGGTTTGATAAATTATAATAATGCGTAGGCTGATATAAGAAAAACTAACCATTTTTTTCGAATCACATTTTCATATACACGTTTGTCTTCATCCCCCTTATTTACACATTTTTTTCTTTATTTTTTACCCATAAAATTACAATATTGAAATTTTAAAAACTACTAATTATTAGATTGAAATAAATTATATTTTAGGTATATCGTCTTAAACAATAAATCAAAAATCTTCAATCACAACAAGTCATTAGCAACACTAACATCTGATATAACAGCTGATATGAAATTTTTAAATGTGGGTTTGCTTTATCAGTAGTCTTTTGAAATGGTAAATAAACTAAATCTATGCTATAAAAAGTTGTAAATTATGAAGTTAGCTTCTGTCAAGCAATGCCAAAAGGAATTTATTTTTAATGAAATAGTAAAAACAACTTTTTAATACATATTTATTTAAGGTACAAATGAAATTTAGCATTAAAGACGGCAGACAAAACTAGTATGATTATCAAAACACCAAGGACTAAACATTTAATAATAAATACAGTATATTATGTTTCATTACATTTATATTTACTCTATAAAAATGTCAACGAATAACATAATATACAAACCAGTTCTTTTATCAGGTCCATAGTGTATCTTGCCCTTACATTGTCACGCTAATTATTAAGTAAACATATTAACAGATATCATCATCATCATACATGATAAACACGACAGGGGTTTTTATTTGACCATTCTAAATTAACCACTTGACGGACTTTCATGATTTTTGTGTTGAAAGAAAAATAATTTTGAGAACTAGGGAATGTCGAAGCCTAAGCCATAATTTTAGCTTAGGGTTTCAGTTTTTTACTAATTCATTTTAAAAATTTAAAAAGTCTAGCAGCCGGAGCTAACATTCTACTCTAGCTTTTGGTATAATACCATTTGTTTAATATAACAACAGTAAACATTCAGCGTTTTCTATACAAATTCAGCATTTGGATGAAAATGAAATGATACACGCAGGGTTGACTTATTTTTACTATGTGTTATGCTATAATCATTGATAAGTTCATTTATTCGGTAAGAGGATGAGAGATTATTCAAACTATACATAATACAATACTAGAGGTTTTAATTTATTTTTTTGAGCGGTCTTTAAAATCTTTAGTTTGTTTTAGTGCAATAGAATTTGTTATAACTAACAGCTGTTTGAATATAAAAAAAATATTGTATATAACTAGCTGTGTACCCGTTCTACGCACGGGGATCTTTTAGTATTCAGTTGAAACCTTCATATGTAACCTTGTTCAGTTGTAACCTTGTTTGTTATTGTTCCGGATCGGTATGACAATCAATAAAAGGTTAAATTACCTGTGTCCGCCGGTCGATCCTAATGTATCCTATTACAGGAGATTTCGGCAAAATTAAATCGCCATCATCAGACCTAATATAAGGTCTTGAGCTTCCCCATTAGGTGCGTCTTGGAGTTTTTGAAACACATACACGAACTGTACACTTATACACATGACGAATAAAACATAATATTTCCCAGCCATATATTCAAGGTCTTTTTCCCGGTTATCAAAACTCAAGAACAATTTGATACACAAAGAATCTCTATTTTCATTTACGGATACCCAACAAATTATTGCACTTGCGATTAATTAAATCCTTTATGTAAGGGAAAACGTTTTTAATCTTACTTGGTTTGTATTTGCTTTCAAAACGTGATCGGAATTGGTTGCGGTATTTGTAAACAACATTCAATGTAAACATATCAGTGACAGCTAGAAGAAATAATCTTGATTCGTATAATTCGTATAAAACGTAAAAATAACCTGCAAAGTATATGATTCTGAGCAATGTACAGACAACACTCTAATTTTATTTATATAGATTATGAGGTTAGTTTATTCACTCTGTGATTTTGTCATTGATTATAGGCAATAAGTAAGATTATATAACCATTTATGTTTACGATTCGAAGCTCACGAGTCTTCAAAAGAAAGCCTATGAAAATTATTTTACTTCAAGACTTTTTGAGGAAAGGTTGGGAAAATAACAATAATATCATGTTTTAATTCATATTGGCAGTTTTAATAATTACAATGAATTTTGAACTACAATGCATAAACTATGCTTGAATTGTTGTTTTATGATTTTGTCATATGTGAACTGCAAGCTTTTTAAGATAAAATAAGAGTATTTTTAGAACACAAAAATCAACGCAGTACAATTTAGTTATATATGATATTCGTTAGTATAATTTAAGCATAGGTGTAGCAAAACACGACTAAATTAGCTAAATGTAAAAAAATCAACGTTCATATTATATTCATGTTTTGTTTGTCTGAAATTATTATGAATTATGCGATTTGGCAGTTTTTTTTTTACATTGAAATGCCAAAGCAATTATAAAAATTGCAAGTGTTCTGCCCATGAAGACCAATCAATATTTACTTTTAAAAACCTCACTTCAGAACTTTTAAAGAAAAAGGGGAAAATCCCACGGTCAGTATCGAAGTATGAATAGTCCTATTACCATTCTTGCTATCGTTGCTATATTTTTGTATATAAAATTTAAGCCCAGTCGGTTCAGTAGTTATTGCACCTATTATAGTAATAAACATCCGGACAGACACCATCAAATGTGTATATAATAGTAGTATAGACAACGAAAAAAGTGGATAATATCGGTAGTTTTTTATCAATATTAGAGAAATCTCAAACTTGTAACATTATTACGACCAATCTATTACATTTATTAGCTTCAAAATTTGTATGGCACAGGCATAGCTGCCTATATGTGAGGCATACAAACACTTTTGTATTGTTTCATGATTTTTACAAGCAATATTCATTATTTTCTTGAAGATTTTGCAACCCTAAACCTTTGTTATCTAGCCCTTTAAATTCCCAACAAACACATGTGTCAAATGTCATTATTTTCACATTATAACTTTTATTTTCTTGTTCTTTTTGTGAACCTTAGTTAACTTTGGATTTCTCACGCGTTCTTCCGGAAGATTTTAAATTTTGTATATTAATACATGGGATATGTTAGTTTGTAAATGGTGGTTGTAAAACTTGTGGATTTTACTAAATTACCCCCCTTAATAAATACAACGTTCATGGACTAATAACTAAATATGTTTCTAGGTGATCCGTTGATAATAAAAGAAAATGATTCAATCACTATGCATAACCACGAAGGCAACGAAATTAAGTACGGAAGACAATTAGTGTCGAACAGTTGTAAAAGGAAGGCACAAGAAGACTTATATACCAAACCATGTAAAATATTAAAAGAAGAAATTGCATCTTGCTGCAACAAGGAAACATTAACGGAAAAAGATGTATCCAACATGCGGAAAGTTATTTATCAAGCTAGGAGAAAAATCTGCCACCCTTACCGAAGAGCATTGAGGTTGAAACACAGCAACACCTTGACGAATTGAGCCTCTTCACTGATCGAAATGAACAATACCTTCTTGAAAACGATCACGAGAAACACATTGTTATTTTTGGTTGTAGAACAAATGTAGAAGAATTGAAAACCACTTCAACAGTTTTGATGGACGGTACATTCGAATACTGCTGCCAATTTTTTAAGCAGCTTTTCACAATATTTATTGTGAAAAACGGACATTATGTTCCAGTCTTGTTTTGTCTTCTCCCCAACAAAACGGAGGCGACATATGAGTGTCTGTTTAAGAAAATAAGGATTATGATTGGAAATGATTCTCTGGCAGAAATAATGGTCGACTTCGAAATCGCCATCCATAATGCTCTTAACAAAACTTGGCCAAGAGCGGACATATTTGGTTGTCGGTTCCACCTGACGCAAAGTTGGTGAGTATTATATTCAGCGTTACAATATTATTTTTCTCATTCTAGTACAAAATATAAATTCGCTACTTTGTGTGACACACTGTTGGTGTGTTGCTTGTCTATGGTATTTGTTAGGCATTCCCAGGAATGTAAGGGCTGGTATGTTTTTTGCATATCAATACAAACAAGGACAGAATGATGTCATGGTTAGGTACTGTAGGAATGTAGAGGGGCTAATCAGGTCAGCTGGTATGACATTCCCAAATTGACATGAGTCATTCGCAAGAAGAGTGAGTGTGGTTTTAATTTTTTTTTTTATAATTGTTTAGTTTTAATTCAACGATTTTCAATGTTTGCTGTTAGCATAAAAAATTCTCATTTTGCGTGGTTGGTAAATCTGTTTTCACCTGTTGACGAAGTAGCCGGCGTCGGTAGCTACTAAGCGGAAGAGTAAAAAATATGGCGTTCGCGGTGTAACGTTTAGACGCGACGGTCGGTCCTGGTTCGGTAATTTTACTGATTTTTTGCCCTCTTTGTCTCAATATGATGTAACATTCTTTTCCTAATTACCTCTACTCATTTCCTTCGAGGCTATTTATCCCCTTTTGAAGTGCTATAGTGTTAAATTATTTCTCCTCTGTGATGCCGGCCGGCTGATCTTCGTTCTTCGTTCCATGGACATTCGACGCCAACTCACTATTCGACCTACAACCAAGGGTGAGCACTAGACATTAATAGCCTCTCCTTCATTCATAAAAACCCTCCATTTGTATAAACCCTCTGTGTCCTCCTTTCCAATAATTTAATTTGTTGATTCGTGTAATTCGTGTTTGTGTTATAGTCGTATTTTGTATTTAATTATCTTTCGGTCCTTCGAGTTGTTTTATTGTATTAATTAATTAATAATTCTCTCTTAATTTCCAAGCTCCGAATTTTAACAATAATATCATTATGAATGTAATAATTACCATTTTATAGCTGTTTGCATTTAATAATTTTTAAATATAACACAAAAAAGTAATGTTCGGCATTTCGAAACTGTTTTAGTAGGCCTACTTAGCTCCGTCGTACTAAAGTACTCATTGTTAATACGAGGGCCTAAGGTTTATGTTTGTTGTAACTTGACCGATATATAAAAACTTATTACCTGTAACTCTTTTTGCAAATTAACATTTCTAGGTTTATTCAGCGATATGTTAAACTCATGAATGTTAATTTTCAGCCTCAATTTGCAATGTTTAGTTAATTAAAAACATCAATTCTTAATATTCACGACGGAATATTAGGAATGTTTTTTAATACCTGCATGACATTCTTTTGGAACAGTTTTGGTTGTAAAATGTTGTATAAAAAACAGAATGTAATATTGAGGCTAAAAAAGTTTATTTTATTATCATGTTTTGTTTTTACAATTACAGAAAATTGTTTTAGCTTTTTAGGCCGGACCACATGAGGGCTTCAGGACCGTTTGAGGAAAATCATTTATTGTACTTTGTATCAATTTCCATACTTTGTAAAATGAATGCATTGTAAGGATTTTAACTTTTTCCGCTATTACAGGTTTCGAAAGGTACAAAACCTTGGATTGGCCACTGTGTATCGAAGCCCTGACATCAACAACGTAGAAGAGCAAGAGGCTTCGAAATGGCTCCACAGAATTTTCGGTCTTCCATTTTTGAGCCCCGAAGATGTTGGCACTTGCTTCGTTGAAGACTTCATGACATCCATTCCACAGGGCCAGAAATTTGCCAGATACGCCGATTACCTCGTGGAAAACTATATCGAGGAGGAATCTAAATTTCCTCCAAAAATGTGGGCCTCTTTCACGAAAAACCATGTTACAACCAACCCGTGTGAATCGTTTCACTCACGCTTCAAAAAAAAACTTTTACCATGCTCACCCTGACATTTTCTGTTTCACTAAAGAATTGATCAGTTATCAAACGTTTGTGTACGTGAAGATTAATTCTATCAATGACCCTCCTCGGCCCCCAGGCTCTAAGTTCAAAAGGAGCCAACAGAAACTTGACGACGCCAAACAAATGTTTTTGTGCGGTATTTTGTCAATGAAAGACTTTGCGGTTGCTGCCAGTAAAATGTATGCAAAGTAGTAAGAGCGTACAGAAAAAGTTAAGTGTTAGTTGTTTTTAATAGTGTTAAGTGATTTTCTGTTTGATGTTTCTTGCCACTTTTTGTTTGGTATTTGCCTGGTATTTTAACTTTATTTTGTATATAAACCACAAGATAAGTCATTAGTCTACTACATTGCTAAATGAGAATGTAGCATCCTAACCAGACACAGGTTAGGTTAGGTGGATTAATTTTAATGGGCATAACGCAATACGTAATTGTTATATTTATTATGCAGTCTTTTTGTCTTTTGTGCAATATATTTTCATCATATTTATTTTATTTAGCCAATAATTTTAAAAGCTTGATAAAACTGCTATTCATATTAATATGTTTCTATCTTTATGCAGTACAGCTAAATTGAAAAAAGGTTTATCAACAAAAATCATTGATATTGTTATTATTTCATCTTTACCATAAACATATTGTGCAGTTCTCGCACGTATTTATGTTTATCCCAGTGTCATTTCTATTCTGCCTTAAAATTAGTTTTTTAATTCATTTAAAGTGTTTCATTATTCTCACTTAGGTCTCTACAAAAATTCTGTTTGTCATTTATATTATTAGTACTTCGGTGTAATTGTAAAATTTATATCCAACATACTCATCGATTACAAATTATAGATTTTACTTCATTCTATCGTTTATAAGCTCTGTATTACCGAATTCAAAGCACTTTGTATAATTGTTATTGTTTTTAGTTTCATACATGGGTTTTATAATATTGATGTTGTAAATAAATTTTCATTTTTTTAAGATAATAAATTACTTGTGTCAAGAATCGTGAATCGTATTAATGTTTCATTTCACACCTTTTCCACCTTTTGAAGCATTTAAAAATATTTAAAAACAGTTGGGCATTTTTTAGAGTTGCTCATTTGTGAAACCGAATTTAATAACTTTACATTGCCAGATAAGACCGGGACGCAGCATTAGCTGCGTATTTTGACCGGTGGCAAGAACATTTTTGCTATAAATAATTATTAGTGTATACAATCAAAATTAATAAGTATTAGTGTACTTTGCAATCAAAATAACATTGATAAAAATCAACTGGTGAAGTGTTGATAATAGTCACTTGGGGCGGGGTTCCAACCTGGATTTTATTGTGGAACTGAACTGTTTTTTCTTAAGCTATTAGGATACTTAATTTTCATTAAAATCCTAAATTGAAGGAATTAGATGCAAGAACCAATTTTCTTGCGTTGTTAAAAATCGTCCACACCTGATATACTTACACCAAAAGCAGGGGTACTTTTCTGAAAACATTGATGCCAATCCCAGCTGCATATTGTTTGAGTGTTTGACAATACCATACGTTGATTGTTTATTTGGATCCAGCTAGTGCAGTAACCGTAGCAGCAGATATGTCGCGCGAACTTAATTTTGCTTACTTCAATAAGCACCACAGCGGAGAATTTGTGGGGACAAAAACTATTCATAATTTCCCTCATTCTGGCTACCTGGGTGCTACTACCTGACCGGGCTGTTGTGCCAATCGTGCCTTTCCGAACCTTACAGTTTGACCCTTCTTAATCCCCTCTAATGAGTGTGCCAGTCGTGCTATTCCAAATCGGCTTAAAATGTGTGCCAATCGTGCTACGGCCGCAACACCTGCGCCCATGTCCGGCGCTTTTAATGTACGATAATAACCATATGTTGTACGATAATAATTGTATGTTGTGCGATAATAATCGTATGGTGTAAGATAAGAGTCTATGATATACGATAATAATCGTATGTTGTGCGATAATAATTGTATGTTGGGCGATAATAATCGTATGGTGTAAGATAATAGTCTATGTTGTACGATAACAATCGTATGTTGTGCAAAAAAACTCGTACGTACATTACTTTATGGTAAGACACAGTCTGTGCTGTACGATAATAAGAGTATGTTGCCATTATTAAGCGTGTTGTACAATAACTCGTGAAGTTTAAACAGTAGGTCACTCGTTGAAATAAAACGAAGTGTGCTAACATAAGTACAATTTTGTGCATGTAAACATACAGTAGTTATACCGTCCAGTGTATTCGTTGCTTTAGGACACGATGCATGGTACAATACGAGAATTAATAGTCGTTTGACACGACAACTTACCGTGGTGTACGATTATTATTCATAATATAATGTGACATACTAGATCGGCCATTTTGTGACCGATGGCATAGCATAAAGGACACTGATGGGACATAAAATGACAATCGATATTTACTCCCTCTATAAGTATTATACATCGATGAAAATGGTTGGCTGTATTACTAAATATACATCGATGATCAATTATCATCGATGTATATTCATACATTTGTCCATCCATTGATGTATACATTTGTTAATTATCCCTCGCCCTATAATCAACCAAAGATTGTTTCGCCCTTTGATTAACCAAAGAGTGAACAAAAGGGTTTTTTAAAAAGGGCCACCACTTTTTTTAAACATAAAAATACCCTAACCTAAACTGTGGTTTACCGAATTTTATATAGTGGCGGCCATCTTCTGAAAAATACCCAACAAAAGTAATAAAATAAACACAAAAATGTAATAAAAGTTATCATTATCACCTCACTAAAGCGTTACCTACATTAACTACATAACAACCTTCTTATTATTTTACGCTATGAAAAAATCTACTACCACTATTCCATGTGCCATGAATATTCGACTTCGCACCCCAAGCAAAATTAGAATACCGTTCCAGAGATGAGTTCGAAAGTAACTGCCAGCCGAGGAATTCACTTAATTGCACGCAAAATGGTAGAGGCGTGAAAAGTTGGTCAATGGAGGACTGAAACTCCATTAACCACAGCCTGGCATGTCTTGAGTTAGCTATAGTAGATGTTAGCATGTTGTTTGGACATTCGTTGACTAGGATTAACAACTAGGAATGGAGAGTTTTTCTTTGATACTAAGTGACGAACGCTTTTTTTAAAAATCTGATGTACAATGATTGAATTTCTTTTACTTAAACGAGCGAGCATAAAGTATGTGTATAATTTAAGAATTTAACGTGTTTTCCATTGACCATTGCTGAAGTAAATTATAATGAATACTTGGTAATCAAGTGAATAGTCTGTACTTGTAATTTGGAACGGCATAAGGGGCCACAGAAAATAAACTGCAAACTGACAAATAATTTCTATCTTATCTCGACAACAATTATCATGGGTTAAGCTACGAATACTAGAAAAGTCCCGGTATGTATCATGAACATAAACAAATGACGTTTTTGGCCCAAAAGTAAACAAAACCCTCTCTAGTTTATGTGGGTTAAACTGTAAAAGGGAGTAACTATGATATTTTATGAGGAGAACCACAAAAGTTGCAATAACTATTGAATCGTAATTTTGACATCATAGGGGGGTTGTCTTGTTTAAAGACTGTAACATACTAAATTTGAATGAAAATCGTTTGAGCCGTTTTGGTGAAAATCCGATTTTTCTGATAGATATATGGGAAAGAGCAATTAAAAGATTATTATTTAAAAATATGAAAAAACTACAATAGTAAAGTACTCACAAACCTAATTTCATCAAAAATCGGACCACACATGTATATGTATTCTGCCTGTAGATCAGTACCCCCCCCCCCACATACACACACAGAGACATCACTTCGAGAGCTTTCTAGGGTTCAGGGACCCAAAACTCTAAAATGTTTACCTTCTAAAACTATACTCTTCCCCTTTAGGATTAAACAATATGTCATACGATACATAGGGAGAGAGAGAGTAAAAATGCAACACATTTCATTTCATTCATTATAGCAGTCGAAATTCAGGAAAGTAATAGTTCCTTCTTTAAATAACAGAACATTTACTTTTACCATCGGATATGGCTGAAATGTTTCATCAGGAAAGTAACAATGCAACAACATCAGTTGTCCCTACGGACATATCGGACTGGTTTCATTACCAAACACAACGCAAAGCCACAAGTCTTCAATTAGAGATAGCATGTCTGCAGCGCCTAGGGAACATCATTATTTGTAATGAAAGTGTGGGTGGGGCAAAACTTCTAATGAAACCTTGGAAATTGTTAGATTTATGACTATTAGGAAGGTAAAGTAAGGGTTAGAGTATAATAATGATGTACCCATTCCGCTCTAAAACGGATTCTGAACGGTTATATCTGTGTCCATCGTACGTTGTTAAACAAAATGCAATATTAATAGCTCAAGAGATAACTTTGAGGAACGTTAAGAACGATGTTTTTCACCCTGGTAACTTACAAAATATAAAGTTAAGCTAAAAATCACGTTCAGAAATCCAGATGATATTCTACGGCGAAATTGGCTTAGTGATTACTTTTTATTCAAGGAATTCTATAGTTTTGAGAAATTATTTTACCTTGCAATTTGTTTCACCAAAGCAAGAAGAGGCAGTCTAATTTTCACGGATATCTTTACCACAATATACAGGTCTCGGTTACTAAAACCATTGACCTCTATTGGATACTAAAATATTGGATTGAATTTGTATCAATAGTCAAAGCTAGAACTTTCATTTCCAGTAAACACGTTTGTTTTTTGTTTGTAGTTTTCTTACAGCGTAACTTTACTGATTTAGTTTGCTTCCAAACTTTTTTTACAAAAAAATTATAAACTGGTTATATCAAGGTATGCCCAGGTGTTTGAGTTATTATCAACGACGACAATGACTCTCAACCCCTTTAAATACAGTTCCACAAACAACAATAACGTATTTTTAAATCATTACCTTTCACTAAATTGTTTGTAAAGCAAAGGCCGCAAGATATGAAATTAGTTTGTGGACA